AAACAAAGGACACAAAATGTCATGTTCCCAACGAATGCTCAAACTCGATGGCTCACTACGAGCAATTTAACGAATGCGGACCACGCACGGCACATCAGTTGATATGTTCAATATGCAAGTGGGCTAAATGATGTTGATTCTGACTTTGAGATTGGAACTTTGAAATCATGAAAGTGTGCCGCCAGAACCAAACACTGGCAGCCGCTAAGCAACACCACTGGCATTGCAGCATGCTGTGTGCCACAATCAAGCTATTGAATTTCCCAAGGCGATATACAATTTCCGGCATGTCGCAAATCAAAGTCCCATTCCCAAAAGCGCAGGTGATAGCTTGCCAGACACCGCTTCCGCCAGAGACCATGCGCATGAGGCGACTCGAGAAGAATTCCTCTTGGAGAAGACCCCGTGGTTTCGGCTGAGGGCCTTCGACATTTCAGGGCACCAAACTCTCAGCGCCTGCCAGGAAGACGCTTAGCACAGAAACAACCTAGAGAACCAAGCTGCTCAGCAGCGGAAATCTTGCTGCACCGCACAGCGAACCTTGTCCCGCAGTCAGACTCGCATTTGCAAAGATTGTTGTCCGCGGCTCCCAGGCTCGTCTTTTCGCACCTCTGACATGTCCTTTGAAATGTTGCGGCCGGCCCGATGCTGTTGCTTGCCACTTGTGGCGGGCTCTGCGTTGCCGTCCGCATGTGGTCGACGCTCCCCGGAACCCCGGGACGTGGCTCGCATGACGGGATCAGGTTTGGACCTACGAGCCTCATGACGCTACTCTTGCGAGTAGCAGGTCCTTCAAGAATTGGCCGAATTCCAACTTCCCCATTCCAGCCCGAATTTGCGTCAAAGCAAAGAGTCCAAAAGAGGTCTGTCAGCTGTCCGGGGACAATCCCCCGCTCCCCCGCCAAGAGGGGCGGTCTGGGTTGGTCTCAAAATCGACCACAAATCCGCGGGGCTTTCTTTCGCTTCCTAACCTCAAAAGTTCCCCCTGCGAGACACGCCCGTCTCCTCCACAAATTTCAAAGCCACCTGCCAGGGGCAGGGATGGAGAAAGGTCCCCACCCCAAAAGAAGCCAGACCGAGTTGCACTAACCCGTTTTCAAATGTACCCCGCTGCACAAACCATATCTAAAGCTTGCTGTTCATAAGCCCTCGCTCTAACAAATCACTCGGTCATATGGGCTTAAGGGGCCTTAGCGAACTAACCAGCCCTTCTCACATTGCAATGGCCATGGAAAACAGGGCATACAGGCCACAATTGCAGGCATGGATTTTGGTTGCCCTATGTCCAAGGCTGCCAGAAGTGCCAGACTACTGGAATTGCGCTTTAACAGCCTGAAGCTATGACCGGGCATCCCAATGGTTAGTCTGGCGTATGAGTCTATAAAGTCAATATCTCTGATATTGCCAAAAAAAAAAAACGCAGCAACCTCTTCACCGTCAAGCACGTATTTTCCTCCACGTTGCTGCAGATTTGGTTGGTTAACCTGTTCTTGTACGTCCTCTACTACTTCTGGCGACTGATGTTCCGTTGCCAGTGATGGTTTTGACAGGGTCACAACATCCAAGGTTGGTTTTAGACGTTGCTCATATCACTTGCCACAAGGCCTGGTCATCTTTCAAGACGTTTCAAGCTAAAGCTCGAAAAAATAGCATGGAGTCCTCAATGCAGAAGCATGATGATTGCAAGCCAAACACAGGAGTGTTCCGCTGTCCCTTTTTGAAGCCCAGCCGGCAGCAGGACATGGGGGGGTTCTGGTGTTTCCTTTTTCCTTGGAAATGTGGGGTTGTCCCCCCATAGGGCTTGGGGTCCTTTTTCCTCGGAGCCCACTGTAAAAGGGTTCTTGTAAACACAGCCGCTCAGTCTCCACACAGCTCATGTCACGTCTCCGATGTCTTTCACACATTCCAGATCGCGACCGACGCGAAAGAGCCCTGAGCCATCGAAAACAGGCTTGCCCCCCTGCCCTGTCCCCTGCTTCTCCTTCTCCCCCCTTCCCCGTTTCTCCAACAACGCGACGAACGCGAACGCGACCATCGCGAGCGCTCGACCGCCTCGCGGCGGGTGGTCTTGTGGAGGGCCCGGTGCACCACCCCGGCGGCACCGCGGCCCAGCTGCTCCAGCACCTCGAAGTGCGACAGCTCAGCATGCGAGCTGAAGCTGGAGCTCGTACTGCACCTGAGGCGTTTTCTTTCCCCCCGACAAGCGCGACGTCCACCCAAGATAAAGCCCAACCAACCAACCAACCAACCAACCAACCAACCAACCAACCAACCAACCAACCAACCAACCAACCAACCAACCAACCAACCAACCAACAAACCCAGCCACCCACCCACCCACCCACCCACCCACCCACCCACCCACCCACCCACCCACCCACCCACCCACCCATGTGTTTTTGTTGTTTTGTTTTTTTTGTTTTTTTTATGATTTTACCAGGGACTTGTTTAAAAGACAAAAAAGCCGCCTGCCAAGAGAACCCCCGCCCAATTTTGCCGCCTGCGAGAGACTTGTTTAATTCACTATTCTAAGGAAAAACGACGTCCCAAGAGGAAAGCTTTGCGGGTTTTGCAAGGGACTTATAAATAGCCAGCACCTGCCAAAGACGAGGAACGTCCCAAGACCACCCCCGCCCATTTTTTGCTGACTTTACGAGGGCCTTGTTTAAAAGCCAATCTATAAGTACCTTTCTTTTGGGATTCCCTTTGAAGGAGACCAGGGGTGGTTGTTTGCTTCCGAACACGTGTCACTTCAAAATTGAAACCTAGGTCAAACGAGTGTGACTGCAAGAGTATCCCGCCCCCTTTTGTGGTCGTGAGAAACGGGGGACGGGGCCTCTATAGGTATTTCCAGTGTCCCATCGTCGTGGTTCCGGAAAAATAACCTTGCTGTAGTGAGCCATCCCTACTACTTCATCCCTTTCAGAAGGAACCGTCCTGGTCGAACCCGCATCTTTGTCCATGACCATGAGTGAAGCTGTTTGATCGGTCCAAGTGTTGGATGGTTGCCACTTGCTGGAGGTGTGTCATGCGAACAAAGGGCTAGAAATTGTACTGTTGCACGAACTGGGATGAGGGACTGAAGATTGCTGCGTTCTGAAAGCCAGGACACTCGCGACTTTTTACCTTGGTCGCCTGCCTAGCTGTATCTGCCTGCCTTGGTGCCTTCTGCATATCTGCCAATGTCTTCCCATCGGCCTGTTCATGCCGGCTTCGGTACTCAAATGATAGATATTATGGGATCCTTGCAGTTGCCCAGACTAAAGCGCGGCCACCTTTTCTACGTTCCATGTCCTCAATATTGCGTACGTTGGGAAACAAGGGTGCGGATGCTTAGGATCTATGCGGCGGTAAAATGAAACCAGGAAACCGTGCCTGTTGGGGCTCGCCCATTTGGAGACAAACCCGCATTTGGGTATGGGTTTAAATTTTAACTAGGTACCCAAACTGGAACCCTGGCCAATGGAAACATACACTAAAACCTGCGGTCCCCTGCTGGTTGAAATTTTGACTCATACCCATGTGCTTTTTCAAGGGTACCAGCCTCTACGCAGCTGAGTTGCCTCGACACAGAGGGTGGAGAGCCAAAAGAATCCTCACCACATCTGCGTTTCCAGAGGTTCGACATCTGTGCCCAGCTAAAGCCAACTGAGCTTCCGCTGCGGAAAAAGTTGCAAATGTCAAGCGCATCCTGGAGGACCAAGTACACGTGTGAATCCAAGGTCCCACTCTGCCTATGAAAAAATCCTCCTTGCTGAAGAGCTCATCCAACGCTTCTCAATTTGAAGGTGAAAAAGTTGGGTGGCCAAGCTCCAAGGGGGGGGGCTGTCGTTTCGTCCCCTTCGGAAGCGATTCAGTGGACCCGTGACGCCCATGTTTGGAGTTTTTTTCGAGGACCCAAACACATATGAGTGGCTACATGGTGGCTACGTGAATCCATGAATGGAATAGCTCCCAGGTCGCGCCAACTTTGACTTCAGAACCAATCAGAGGCTGAATCCCCTTGGACCCAAGTAGCTTCCATTCTACGCTGATCTCTTCCCCATATTGGTCCCCTCTGTATCCGGACATCGGTCGCCCTCATTGAGATGACACGTGGCCTCTCGATTTTTCTGATTCTGACACGTGGCGTCCCTACAGCTGACAGCGGACACAACCAATCACAAAGAAAGGAGAGAAGAAAGGAGAAGCGATTTAAAAAAAAAAAAAAAAAAAAAAAAAAAAAAAAACTTGCAGGGCTGTTTGGTTCTTGGGTTGTGTGTAGGGCTGTTTGTGCGTTTAAGGTTTTGGCCTTGGCTTCCCAATCGCCCAAAAGAACCTCACCCATCCCGCTCTCTTTGGAAAACGCATCACCAGATGGACGGGAGCATGCGTAAGAGGCCCACACGCCGCCACACAGCTACCCTGCTCCCTACGCGGTGCTTTGAGTTTCGGAGGGTAGGTCTTGATCTTAAACTACCTCCTTCATGGCCCCGCAACACAGAAAAGCACCAAACGGATGAATGACTGCCGACGGGAAACTTGAACCTGTCACACCAGTTTCTGCAAAGACTTTTGATGCGTTCCAAGCAAGGGGACGAAAGCAGCCTATGCCGTTCATTGCATTCTGGATTGCAAAATGAAGGTTAGTTCTATTGTTTCGTCATGCCGGCAAACCACAGCCTGAACAACACTGATGCGTGCTGCTTTGTCGTTGCTTAAACCCTGACAGCTCGCATGGCAAACAGAAAGCGGGGTTCTCTGTACGGCTGGTTCCACACGTGAACGCAAACATGCTAGTCCACACAGGGTCTCTCTTACTCAAACATGAGGGTGTTCGCAGGCTCTGTTCTCTGAAGCACGCCTGAGCATGTTGGCCATGGGTCTTCGTTGCGGTGCGTAAACATCTTGCCAACTTGCCCTCATTGGCTCCGCATTCCCATTTCAAAATACCAGTTCTATCTGGGTGACAACTTTGCTTGTTCAGCCGGCACGTCGCAAAATGCTCCATGGCTCCCGGCTGCTCAGGACGTTGTACTTTGCGCCAGGCCATCTGGCAAGCATCCTAAGCAAGACATCAACCACTTGGTCACGGCTTGCTTTCCGCCGCGCGAAGCAGGAATTCGTTCCCGGCCAGCGCGAAAAAGCACATGGTTTGTATGGAAAAGCCGAGTTGCGCGGACCGTGACGCATTTCTATGCTCCTGACACGTCCTCCCAAGCCGGGTTACTGCTTGTATTGCTTTTTACCAATCAAATCAAGGATTTGGCTCCTGAAAAACTGCTTTGCCAGTTCCACTGGTCACAGCAGAGCTGGCTGGATCCGTCAATGCACAGATTTCTGCGGCCATTTCTTGAGAGACCGCCAGGTTCTGTCCAGAGACTGAGTTCCTGCAACAGCACAGTGGCGCAGTGCTGCACGTGAATGTCCATGCCGCAAGACACCGAGCAATCTGAAGGGGAGTATATGGACCGTCGTTCTAACCAACTGTGCGACTGTCCGATTTTCCAGCCGTCCGCGCTGCTTCCCGTCCGTCTCTGGGTCCGACCGTGACGGTGTCCAAAACTGGTGACCCTTTTTGGAAGGTGGAAACTCATCATTTGTAGGGCTTTCGTCTTTTAGGACAAACAATATGAGCACCGTGCCGACTCTGGGAGGCTCCCTCGAAGTCGAGGGGCCGCCTTGCTTGGGCTGCCTTTGGGCAAGCTCAATTACAAAGTAGCAGCTCACTTCCCAGAGAATCTGGAGAAAACCATAGACGGATAACAGTCCTTCCCAAAAAGCCCCAAAAAAAAGAAGCATACATGCGTGTTTTAACTGACCCCCAGGGCGCAGGGAGTTGGGGCTGGTGTATATTGGCAAAAGCTTGGGTTGGTTGAGGGCTGGCTTGTGAGGCTTTGGGCTTGAGGCTTGCGGTTCGAAGCGTAGGTTGGTTTAGGGTAGAAGAAAGGTGAATTACGTGGCTGAGGTGGGCTTGGAGTAGGTTTAGGGTTGGTTTAAGACTGGTTTATGAGGCTTGCCACACTCCTCCCGCGGCAGGCCACCCTTCCCAATCAAATGCGTTTCTCAAATGTCCAACATGGGAGGCTACAGTGAACCCCAATTTGGCCAAGCGCATTCTTTTCAGCTTGACTGACTCAGAACCGTAAAGCAAGGGAAACCTGAGAACTATCCCCAACAATCAATGGTTGAAATAAGACGCCTCTCAGAGAACCGCCGCAACTTAGGGCCGGGAATGTTCTTCATACAGCTCGCAAAAATCTGAACCGCACAAATTCCCATGCACGGGCTCGACCCGCGGGTGTTGCCCCCTCTTCGACGCTTTTGGTCAACATGTCCCAAACCAACTCTTGGAGATTCCCCAAAAAAGATCCGAGCTACCCATTTTACCCAGCGTTACCTTTGGAGTTTCCTTGCCCCTTAGAACCGCCCCTTGAGAGACCCACCTGAGAAGCCCAGCGTCCCCGAAAAATCCAAACATCCCACCGACTTGGGCTCCGGGGCAGCTGCAGCAGCTGCCGCACTTCTTTCTTCGAGAGGTACGTGAAGCCCAGCTCCCTGAAACGCTTTTTGCACCACCTCTGTGTCCTTTTGGCCCGGAAAAATTGTTCTGGACTCCGTGCAGCTGCGTCTTTTCGACTCCTTTCATGGCTTCTTTGTTTGGTGGCGTTAAGACTCCGAGAAAAAGAAGAAAAAAAAAGAAGAAGAAAAAACGACCATGGCCGGTCACTGGGTGCAGTCCCAGTGAACATCCCAATCTCCACTAACATAGACTAAAATGGGTGGTTGCTTTGTTTTGTTGAGTATTCTAGAGAATCAAACGTATCAAGAGGCCTTGCAGACCAAACCCAGAATCGGACAGGGGGGGGTCCAACAAAGACAAAGCCGTGGCCCCGAATCGAGCTCTCTCTTGGCGCTACTCCTTCGGCTTCGCGAGGTCTGTTCAAAAAGAAGGGAGCTGTGTGTTGGGCTCTGTCACCATCCCATCCCAAGAAACAAGACGGGCAGACATCAATGGCGCTCTGGCTGATTTTACGATGCACACGATGGCGATTCGAGGTGTTTCTGTGCTCGTAACGTGAAGCTGATGGAGAACCAACTGTGTTGTTTGATACTCCAAACATGTTCGACGGCGCAAGACATCTGCGCAAGTGCTCGGCGTAGCTGCCAGGAGACTAGGATACTGTCACATCCTCAAACAAACATCTAGGCAGTGGCCAGGGGGTGCAATAAAATGTTCTGCTCGGCTGCGTGAGATACATTTAAAGGGCATCCCGCAAGGAAATAGAAACTTTGCGCCGAGTACTACTTTAGTATGAGGGTCGATTGTCACGAACTTGACACACACACGCGCTCCCAAAAATAACTGCTCCGAAAAGGAAGTTTAATGCAAAAGTGAACCCTCTGCAGGGTTTCGCCAAGATGGAAACTCTCGAACTTGCGCGTGCTCCGAATACAGTACAACTATCCTTTTCGGAGAAATCGCTTTTTCAACATCCCCCCGGAATCCCCCCTCCCAGACTTTCCCAAAAAATGTGTCATCTCCTTGAGCACGGTCATACTATAAACTGCATAACTTGCAACAGTACATAGAATAGCATGGCATGGCATAGCATAACCTAATTAGCACCTAACATATCAGAACACAATATAGAGACAAAGACACAAATACACGAACACTGAAAAAGAAAGCGAAAGGGGAAAGCCAGGAAAAAACCGCTCTCTGCGCCATCCATGAAACCCCCACAATGAACCCATCAGGCCCTTGCGACAAATGCGATCCAGACTCCCGAGCTCCCGTGCAGACTCTCTTGGTACCTATGACCTAGCGCACCAACTTGGATCCAGAATGATCTGCAAAATGTCATGCAGCATCATCCTGACATCAGAGATCCGTGAGTAAGGAACACATAAGCTTACTGTGCTTGAATGTTTTCGGGGCGAGCCCCCCTCGTCCCAAAAGCCTGCAATCCATTGCCGCTTTCTATTGCGGATGATGATTGGAGGGCTCACGTGTTGTCGACTGTTTATCTTTCCAGGCCTCGAAAGCTGCGATCCATGTCGCATGCAAACGATGGGAGTCTGCATCTATGCGGATGTATCTCGCTTCAGAAACCAACCAAAAAAGGGGTGTCCACTTTTAGAAAACGCCCACTATTTCTCTTAAGTTGATGATCTTGCTCACATGCTCCTCGCTTTGTGTCAACCTGTTTGGCGGGTTCGCCCCCCCAAAAAAAAAAATGACGCTGCTGTGTCAGAGCTCAGGTTCCGCTCTTGTCTTTGTTTGAGGAGACCCGCTTTTTGGAGGGTGTAAAAGGAACTCAAGGAGGAACCACGCTTTTTGTTTGGGAGGTTCAACATTTTGAGGCAAACCCAAATGAAGTTCCGATAGTTGACCATCGAGCATACTACGTGTAACAATAAGACTATGACTTCTCGGAACTCTTGAAGTCTTGACATAAAACTCTACGTTTCCTGAAGGTACAAATAGGAAACACGGTAAATAGGAAACCAGTCATGACCTCCATCTTGCCGTTGTTCCCATGGTTTCGAGAGTTGTGTTCAAAACCTGAGGCTTGAACGACAGCCAAACAGGTGGGAATGAGTCGGAATGAGCTTGAAAATATGTGACGTGAAGCTAGACACACTCTAAAATAGGCTAGAATCTGCTCTAAACTGAGGTTGACCCGTGACACAATGGTGCAAGGTCTATGCTGGAAACATACTTCACAACATACTAGAAGAACACAAATGGACATGTGAGAAATGTGATGCTGGGGACATGCTAAGCATATTCAAGAAGGTGCCTGGCACATGCTGGACATATTGGCAATCATGCGCTGGACATGCGCTAGCACGCACAACAATTGCTCGACATGTGCTAGACACAGTAGTCATACGCTAAAAAACCATGCAACAAGTCTGCAAAGCAACAAGGAGTTCAACATGCTAGGAACCGCCAGCTAGATATTGACTGGCCATATGCCCTAAACAGACAATCATGGTAGGGGCCAAAACCATTTCTAGGGATCCTTCAGGTTACGACAATTGCTTTCCCCTAAGGGAGTCACCTGGAGCACTTGACAACAGCGGACAAGGTCCATTGGAAGACATCAGTTGCCGCTTTTGCAAGGGCAAGCAGGGTTGAGCATTTGGTTAAAGGCTCTTCAACAGGGCTGTGGGAAATGGAATCCACTTCTGTGATACAACAAAAAGGGCCTCCCAAAGACCAACCCCCCAAAAAAAAGAGGGGATTCCAACTTGTATCACAGAAGTGGTTGGAGAAACCCCTTGTGATCCCACCACCCTGCTCTTCAACCAACGGTTTCAACATCTTCCAGCCGGGGCTCTCCGAACCTTCGGCCTCGCCTCCGAACATCCTTCGATCCGCACCTCGGCACCTCCTGGGCTCGCAGCCGAAGATCGCCTTGTCTTGGTGCCCCGGCATCACGTCCTGGCCAAACCAAGCCGGAGGGCGGACTCTGCAAAAGCTGCTGGCGGCGCCAGATTTTGGACATGCCGGAAAAAATCGGCTCGATGGTGTCCCAGCCACTGGCGCTACCTGCTGTTTTCTTGCTGTCCGGCGGGTACTGAGCCAGAAATTCAGATCTGTTCGCCGCAAAGAAGCCAGAGGGGGGCTGATATTGTTGGAAATCAGAACCCCTCTTTGCCACCTCCGATCAACAATACGAGTTTACGAGGGCAAGCATGAGAAAGAAAAAACAACGCGACGCGGAGAAAAGACTCTGGCAATCTGCTGTGTGTGTGTACCTGTGTCTGTGTCTGTGTCTGTGCTCTGAGTTCTGACCTGTGCCTGTGCCTGCCCTGTGTGTGTGTGTGTCTGTGTCTCTGTCTGTGTATGCGTATGTCTAGGTGTCTGTCTATGTGTCTGTCTGTGCGTGTGTCACAATGTGCTTGAACTGTCTTGGTCCGTTTGAAGAAGGATCAACATGGTGCACTGTAGGTTGGTTGCATAAGCCCCAACAGCAGTTCTGTTCTTCAGGTTTGCCAGCAATTGAGAAGCCTCCTGGTTTGTGCGCTTGACCTCGAGCGACCGATCCAGCTGGCGTGTTTTCCCTTCACATGACTCTCTTCGCCAAGCAAAATCGCCGGACCTCTCCGGGTGATTAGAACCAAACTGAAACCAGGTGGAACCCATCCATGTTCAACCAGAGACTAGTTCTAGTTGGCACCTACGTCATGTGCAAAAAAAAATCCACGATCTGTCCAACGCCGCGGACTCACATGGGGCATCGTGAGGCCAAGGAGCGCCGAGCCGGGGCACGGAACATCCGCTCGGGTGCTTCATGGGAAACGAAAAATTGCAAGACGATCCCACTGCAGACCGGGTTGGTACTCACCTGGACCTTCATTCGTTACATAAATTTGTGCCCCTTGGGTGTTTCGTAGCAGAAAATTGCTAGTCGGGCGTTTTTCGGGGGAACGGGCACAAATTTGGATTCGAGCATTTTTGGCTATTGCGGCGGCTTCTCTCTTCTCATGTAGTCTGTTGCGTGGACACATGCGGAAACATACCGCAAAACGGGCGCAAATACCCGCAAAACGAGCCCAAATACCCGCAAAACGAGCGCAAATCCAAAATATGTAACAATTAGCATTTTGCAAGAAACCCGTGTTCATGAAACGAGCACTTTTTGGATCATTGGGCAAAAATAGTTGGCCCGAGCATTCTTCTTTCGTGACACAAATTTATGTAACAATGGAAGGTCCAGGCACAATCTTTACCACTCATGGCAGATTCCATTGTCTGGTCATGAGTGAAAACACGTTTTTGGTCCAAATGGACCACACAAAAAAAGAAACGTGACGTGCTCGGTCAGCGCTATTGACTGGGCGCCATTGTGACGCAGGGGCTCAAATGCCATCATACGCAGAAGGTGAATCAAGTTGCTCGCCAGAGACTCACTTCCCACGCCTTTTGAGTGGAGGAAGGTGATCTGAACCAGGCACAAAACCCATACAAGCTAGTGCCGTGTTGCTCCTGAACAAAAAAAAAAAAAAGAACCCCTTTCAAGAATATCCCAACGTCCCAAAGCCAGGGTGTGTCTTTTTTCAGGGAACCCCAACAAACGATTGGTCTTCCTTTTGGTTCCCCTTCAAAAACCATCCTACAAGGGGTACCCTCCAGGATATCGACCCGACACCCACCTAACACCACGTGACGTCGGACGGCCGCCGAATTCCTCAACCCGCCAGGCCGGCTCTGAAGCTCCACTCCTCTCCGTGCACCTGGCCACTCCCCCCCAAGGTAGCAGGTTGGTGGATCCATTTCTTGTACAATGCTGACCAGGGCAACAGAACATGTAAATCAGCTCAAGGTGTGTTTGGCAAACCTGCGGCTTGTATGGAATGTACTGTTGACCCATCAACGCCAGTTTATTAATGGGGTGTCCGATTCTGGGCTTGGTCTGCAAGGCCTCTTGATACGTTTGATTCTCTAGCATACTCAACAAAACAAAGCAGCCACTCGCTGGCATTTGGGCACGAAAAAGACGTCTTCAAAGAAATGTGGCTCTGGGTCAAAACCAATGGTACCATTTTGGGGTAGGTGCACCACCCATTTTAGAACCTATTTTAGTGGGAATTGGGATGTTCACTGGGGGACGATTTGGATTTTGACCCATAGCCATATAGTTCATGTGGGTTACTCCGGTTACTCTCAACATAGGTCTCTTTTGCTTCCCCTTTAAAGCCGCCCAAAAAAGGCCGGGCCCACGCATTTGCTGCGTTTCTTCGCCTTCTGATGTTGGCAAACTAGGCCGAGGGAGCAACGCCGCGCAGGCAAGTCGGGGTTCATCGTTTCATCCCGTTCTAGGAGACAAATGATGGGCCACAAGTATAGAAACCCCTTCGAAATGAAAAGGGACTCAACTGCATTTCCAGGACTCAACTGCGGTTGTTCGACTGCAAGGAAGATTCCACCTTGCACTCTCGGCCAGCCTACAGTACCCGGAAAAATATGTCGCCGCCGCACCCCCAATGGAGCGGCCAAGCCACTTCCGCACTTGGTCAATCGCTGCGGTCGCAAAGCTTCTGCGAACCTCTCCGGCAGAAATCTTCGGACATTTTCAGGCCTCCATGCGTTGCTGGGTTGGTGGCTTGGTCCATTTGCCAGGCCCTGGCTTTCCGAGATGCAACTGGCCTCGACGCCGCAGTGGAAGGCTCCCATGCCAAAGGGACGCAAAGCCTGAGATCGCCCATCGACGTGCGGCCATGATGCCAGCAGTTGAGGGGGTCTGAAAAGGGACCAATTCCTCCAGCGGATAAGCTTCTTTGAGCTTCCCTCAACCATTCACAAAAAAAAAAATGGGGTTTTGGCAGACAGATGTCGGCCAGCTAACCGATTTCGCGTTTGGACCTTGTCAACTTGCAACACAGATTTCCGGAGATGTTTTGCAGAGCAAGCGCAGTGCAGCGCCGCTACAACCCACTTGGGAAATATCTTTCACCTGGCCTCCGGAAACCTGACAGTTCCAACTTCGGGCATGTTCCTGTGAAAGTCACAGGTGGGATTGTGAAACCATACGACGGTCCCCTCTCCCTCGAAGAATTCCATTCCAAGTCGTGCCATGAGATGTGGGTAATTTAAACTCTGGACCCTGTGGACCTAATCTGCGTGCAGTATCAGGTGAACAAAAAAGATTGGAGCCAGGTTTCGAGCTCATGCGCTGTTCACTGTGCTTACCACCTGCTCTAGCCACTTGGGTCTGGGTCAAAAATAGGTACCCAAAAAGCCGACACATTGCCGATGAGTGCCGACGTCGACTCGCCTTTGCACCAAATTCAGCCGCCGTTTTTTGGCGACCGTGTTCATCCTATTCGCAATTCGTTGGTGAAGGAAGGAATCACTGACATCATCTGTAACCGCCACAGGTCTTGGAGGCTGCTCCTTTGCAGGTCTCCCCGCGAATCGTCCGCCCAAGAGGCCCTCGGGCCTGGTTAAAGAGGCCCATGCCTGCGGAGTCCCCCACCTCGCTCGAAACGAGAAAAGTGGCGGCCCACCAACGGCGCTGAGCGGGTGCAGATGATGAAACAAACAGGCAAACCAGGGATCGCCCTCGATTTTTCCACCAAACCAAAAAGGACACCTATGCGCACTGCGCATAGGCGCCGCGTTGAAACTTTGGGTCTCCTGTTGCGAAAGCATGCCAACCCGCGGCAACGAAGGGAACTTCATTCAGGACTCGCGCGTGCGTCTTTTGGAGCATGCTTGCGGTGTTCGGGTGCGAAACACAGCGAGGGTCTTCCCCGATTTGAGTTGGTACCCTTTTAGGAGTCGGCAGTGAGCACCAAGGCGAACAAAATGGTCGGACCAAAATGGAGACTACCCAACACTCCAGGATGAGGTGTTGAATCTCTGTTGAGATTTCTCTCCCAGACGCCCAAAGATCCACTGCTTCCAATGAGTCTGGCAGAAAGCTGGGAAGGCTCCCCGTGCTGCACATAGGTTTGCTTCCAAAGCGGATAACAAGCGGCAAAAAAGGCGGCTTCGCTTTGCCTTCCTTGAAAACCATATCTAACAGGCATCACAAAATGACACCCTGTCCACCTCAGTGCTACCACTTCCAGCAATGCCATACCATCAGCAGAGGGCGGCACCTTGTCCCTATTGTGCGGCTTTCAAGACTGGTGCGCAAAATCCAAATCCAAGCCCCTGGCAGAACCAACATTTCAAATCACCAATCCAAACCACCCATCCAAACCACCCATCCAAACCACCCATCCAAACCACCAATTCAAACCACCACTCGCCAATTGCATTTGATTTGGGGCCCACTTGGTGCAGAACAGCCCTCCACATTTCGATAGCTCAGAGCGTGGCATGGTAGATGTGGAGGATTACAGGCCTGAACTCCAGGCACAGGTCCGATCCCCAGTTTCATGTCTCAAAACGGAGACCTGTTGGGTAACGAAAACGAGAACCAATGGACCAAACCCTGTGGGGGTCACCCATTTCGAGAAAAAACCAGAAGCTGAGGCTAAAGATTATAGACTAACAACGGGCTACATTTGTCTTCTAGTCTTTCAACCATGGGGAAAGGAACCTATCAATGGAAGCCAAAGAGCGAAATGCGGCATCACAGGGTATCTGCGCGTGGAAATCCCTGCAGACACCCGAAAAGCCAACATCCCCAAAAGAAGTTCCTCTGCAAGTGCGTCTTTGGGACTTCCGCTTTTGCTTGAAAGAAAGTCTTGCCAGTTGGAAGACCCATCCTATGGTGGATGTGATCGACCAGCATGTGCCACTTGCAGTATGTGTTCCCTCCATACTAGATTGGCCGGTAGCGTTCGAAAGATTTCTTGTGGGATGTCACTTGTTGAGCTCGGCTGTCATGGCTGCGTGTGCAACATCGTGGGTGTCGGCCACCTGGGAGTCTGCCTGTTGCAAGCCAGTGGAACATAGCGGCTTGTACGGCAGCTGAGCATGTGGGACGGAGGGAGGAGAACTTCGGGTCAAAAGCCAAGTACAAGACCGACTCATGACCGCCGCGCAGGAGCCTTTTCGAGCCCCGTGCACAGCCCTCAAAAAACATGACATGTCCGACTTGGCACCACCATGCCCGGTTTTGGCCTTGTTCCCCTTTCAAACAAACAAACAGTCTAAAAGTCCTCCCCTTTTCTTGCTCGTGCTCAGGGAATGTGGGAATGACCCGATAAAAACCACCCAACTGGTTGTTGCCTTTTGGGGACCAAAGCCCAGGTTCATTCCATTTCTCATTCCCTACCTGGTTCCCAATATCACCAGCAAGTTTTGAAGGGCGCACCCATATGGATCAGTCTTTTCTTGTGGGTCCCTTTTTGGGTTGGTTTAAAGGGAAACCAGAAGAAAACCACCATTTGGGGCCCCCTCATTTTAGGACGCACCCAGATTCCTTTCGAAATCGACACCCGAAACAAAGAAACAAAACAAAAACGAGGTCCTGGCACGTGCCGAAGGCTCAAGCCCTGCACGGGTCACTCAATGGGCGTTGAAATCCAAGGGAAACACCAGGGAAAGGAAACAAAAACTACTGTGGATGGACGAAATCCTGCACCACCTTCGAACCCTGATTTCTGATGAATCCCCTTTAAATACCAACAAATACCGGATTCCCATGGTGTCAAAGTGGCGCATGATTTCGTCCATCCACAGTATGGCCCCCAAATGTAGACCCCATGTGGATCAACCCCACTGCACGAATTGGGCCTGGGATTCATGAAAATCATCACTTTTGGAGGGGAATACCCCCCCATATTCATACACTAGGGTCGATTAATATGGGGTTAGCATTGACTTTGAGAAGTGAAGTCAGGAATGCAGCGGATGTTCCATCGTAGCAATAGCAGGTAGCCAATGGCGATACCAACCAGAGTTTCTCTACAGAAAAACCTCATAGATGCGCAAAGCGAAAAGCTGAGCCACGTAGGGCGGTCTGGGAACTTCAAGAAGATGCCATGACTTGGAAAGAAAACAATAAGGGGACCCCTGAAAGTCCTGGTTTCGTTTTGAACACCATCCGGGAGGGGGTCCATCATTTTGACGACAAGCGAACGGTAGCTCAAACCCTCAAGCGATCTCGCGGCTGCGGTGTCCGCCACTTGCCCTCCGACCGCAAATACGGTCGACAAGCGAGCTACAGAAAGCGACTTACTTGCAAAATAAGGACAGTTCACAAACCTGAATTAAAGGCTCACGAACCGTTGGTCAGTGTTCTTTCAAAGGTGAGAAGCCCCAGGGTTAAAGCGGGTGAGGCAGACCGACATGGAACTAAGGAATGGAAGAAAGAACGGAAGATGAAAGCCTGCTACATCAGAAGGTGTCTCAATTTTTGATTGGTTCACCCATTAACAAACCGCTTGTGTTTCTTCATTCCTCTGTGTTGCGGCTGGCGTGCTTAAGACAGGTAGACGATAGAATTGAGAGTGTCCCGGAATTTTAGAGCATACACATGTTGATAGAGGCTCATAGGTGTGTCAGGGCTTTTGTACAAAGTCCTCGTATCCGAAGACAGCGGGCGCCGATTCCAAAACGCCACCAGCCTTGGTCTCCACAGCTGATGGCTGATCCATGCTCTGAAATGCACTGGTCGTGTTGTCTAATCTGAGTCCCATGTCAGCTTTGACATAGGGTTGTGTTTTTTGAGTTTGGCTTAAAAAGGGAAACCACAACCCCGGTTGCGTAGAAAACCAGACACACCTCCGTATTTGTGCCCGAGCGACCATATAAGGATCTCATCCCCCTTGCGTGCCTTCTGGGTCATTTGTCAGCTATCCTTTGCCGTGTTGTTTTGTTGCATGCGCGGACACCTCGAACTTTCAAGGAGCGCGCACTGTTCTCCGCAAGCGCCCGAAGTTAAGCATTCACCGTTGTATCCTCATTGAAGAGTATTGAAAACACGTTCGACCTGCCGCAAACTCCGTCCGGCAGCTTCTTGCTGACGTGACACACGAATCTGGGATTGAATTCCGACCTGCGCTCAAAAAGCTTCACCTTATGCCAGCGGAAAACAATGAGAATGATACTCAGACCAGCTTTTGAAAACGAGGGTGCAAGCAAAAACCTGGCATTAAACGCAACTTTCTTGTTTAACAACCTTCCTGTGCCTATTTAAAACCAAAATGAAACTTCGCAGCGTTCCTAAGTCACGTTGGGTCCATGCCAGCAAAAAAACAAAATCCTCCAAAATGAAAAGTGTCACATAAAGCGAAAAACACTCGGGCCAAACAGCCTGTTGCCACTTACCCAAAAAGTCGAAAGAGCTCAGAAAGTCGCAACTCCCGTACATGAGCAAGAGTCAAACAAAATCACAATGTTTGCACATTACCCATGCAGAAGATCATGCGCACCCACAAAAAGTCGCAAAAACACTTTGTGACACCGCGCTCCGTAGCAACAGACAGTAATGCCAAAAACACTGTGTGATGAAACGTGAGGTAACGCTTGCCTGTAAAGCGGTGACTTTGACAGCAAAACCGTTTTGGATTTATGAAGGAGGACACCGGGCAATTCTATAAGCATTCACTGCGCCGTGCTGAGAGCTAAAAACTGATATTCAGAAAGTCGTTTAACAATATTAGCCCGATAGACTTGGCTATTTTGCCAAATATGAAAACTCCAGCACGATAAGATTTTAAGTACAGAGCACAAGTTACCCGTTGGTGCAAACATTAAGAATGCTATTACTGTTTGATTCAAGGTTACCTTTCAAACGCCCTATTCAAAAGCAATTCGTTGTTGAGACGCCATGCAAACCTGCAGCGGTGTCAGGAAATCTGATCTTGTCACAGACGACCTGTGGCCTCTTGAAAAATGTGACCAACTCCGTGCTACTTTGCAAACTGCATTCCGTAACGTGGGCGTTTTCTTGGGTTGGCCACTGCCACTGCATACCCACACTTCGATAACCCTCTTGTTGCTTTTGGCCACGAAGTTCTTGTGGGAAAGATCACCATTCAAATCTCCATTGCCGTGACCAAGACAAAAGCCCTGATGGGCTTGCAGGTCTTCCGCGAACCCAAACGACCGTGCGCCAGAGTCCCAAGCACTCAGAACATGCGCCACAGAGATCGACACCGCAATGTGGCTTCCTTTTCGGTGCCTTTTTCTTTTGACACTTGGCGTGATCGCAACAGCGAGTGGTTCAAAAAAAAACTGATACCACAACGCGGCAAAAGCCACGTAAGGAGCAACAGCGCCAAGTGGTTGATAAATGGCATTTTGCTGCAACCTTGTTATAAATATTCTTTCACAAATTTAGAGCCGTATTTGCAAGTGCGCACAACCCGAAACGATTGCACCGGCACAACCGATGCGATGCAACTTGCAACTTTAAATGCACAAAACAAGGCACACGTGGCTTTACAACTGGCATCTGGAGTGCGCTGAAGCCTGGGGCATTCGGCTCGCTTGTGCAGTTGAAGTGTTGGGGTGTGATTTTTGTTTCGTGTTCTTTGGAACTCTTTACAAGCCGAGAGAAAGCGCTTTGGGGTTTGTAAGCTGGTGCACTTGGACAAGAAGCTGCGCAAATTACGGCAGAAGTGCGAATAAAATTGACAGAAGTCTGCCATCCCCCATACTCTGTAGTGTAACGCCCCCCCGATTTGGCAAAGTACTCTGTTGGCGTAAAGTCGATCTGGCAAAGTATTCTGCAGCATAGGCCCCCCATCTGGCAAAGTACTCTGTCAAACCAGTCTGCCCCCAAGAATCAGACCCTGGGACTCCGGTTTGCAGGGTGTCAAAAGTGTCAAATGCGTCAAGCGTCAAAGGCCGTCAAAACCCACAAGAAACAGCCAGCGGAGGCTGCCTAGCATGCCTCAAATCGCTGAGAGCGCCCAGAACCTCCGAAAAAACAGTCACAAGGCGCAATTTGACACTTGACGCTTTTGACGGTTTTGACACCCTGTCAACCAGGTCTGCCCGAAAAAAAATTAGAGGGATTGACAAGGCATCCTGTCGAGGATTGAGAAGTTGGGCAAGCCAGAATCAAGGGTTGTTGGGCGAGCCAGTATCAAGTGTGGTGGGCATGCCAGTATCAAGGGTCAATGGGCGAGCCAGTATCAAGGGCCGTTGGGCGAGCCAGTATCAAGCGTCGTTGGGCGAGCCAGTATCAAGAGTCGTTGGGCGAGCCAGTCTCAAGGGCCGTTGGGCGAGCCAGTATCAAACGAGGTTGGGCGAGCTAGTATCGCCACCTCCTTCCCGGTGCTTGTTCAGCACCTCCTACCGGTGCTTGCTCAGCAACTTCTACTGGTGCTTGCTCAGCACCTCCTACCGGTGCTTGCTCAGCATAGCGCTTGCTCAGCGCTGTTTACGGGCGCTTGTTCAGCACATCACCTGGCTCTGGGTTGCCACGGTCTGCTCGCGGCACCTCACGGAGCAAGCCAACAAAGCGACGGTGTCGCCACTCCGCGATCGCCTCTCCACCTTGCGCTCGACCTTGAGCTCGGCCTCCAACCTAGCGATCGTCGCGGCCTGAAGACAAAACAAGTTGGCGCATGCTGGAAACTCTGAAAAGAAGGCGCCTGCGTCACCTGCCGGCTCTGCCGCTCGTGGTAGAACGGCGGCCCGCCACTCCGTCAAAAGCTTGGTTAGCAAAGCAAACAACACTGCATGCCTGTTTCACCCCGGAGGAGGGTGCCGTGACGCCTACCAAGCAGCGGAGTGCTCAAGAACTAGAGGACGATTGGCCCGAAAGCATTTCTCCACAGGCGCTCAGTCAGCCGCGGAGACACCTTTTTACATCGCTGCGGCGAGCATGTCTGCGCGCGGCGATGCTCAGTGTGTATCGTCACATGAGAGCTCCATCTCACCATCCCACTTTCCTCTCGAACTGCGCCGCGCGATTTCTTACGAAAGTGGTCTGCGCAAGTTGCATTGTTCCAGGTTGCTGCTGCGCGCAAGTTGCTCTCTGCAAGCTGCTGCACGCTGCTGCACGCAAGTGCTCTGTGCAAGTTGCTCTGCGCAAGTGCTCTGAGCAAGTTGCTCTGCGCAAGTGCTCTGCGCCAGTTGCTCCGCGCAAGCACTTTGCGCATGTGCTCTGTGCAAGTTGGTCTGTGCAAGTTGCTCTGCACCAGTTGCTCCGTGCAAGCGCTTTGCGCATGTGCTCTGTGCAAGTTGCTCTGCGAGTTGCTCTGCGCAAGCACGCTCCGCATACTACGTTTGCACTTAAAAGTTGCGATTTTCCAGCCGGAGCTGCAGGAGTACGGTCTGCGTACTACGTTGCGATTTTCAAGCCGGAGCTGCGGGGGTGTGTCTCTTGCGACTTGCAGCGTTCCGGGGCTCGAATCCCGGCGGTGACATACCGGTGACAAGGGAGCTCGGCGGGCTGCTTTTTCCACCCAAAAGCGCCCCGGTGACAAGCGGTGACATACCGGTGACAAGCGGTGACAAGCTGGGGAGGCTGCTTTTTCCACCCCAAAAGAAGCTCCCTTGGCTCAGTGGTTAAGCACCGTTCTGGGGCTCGAATCCCGGCTATTTGCTCGAAACCCGACGGCGACACCGGGCTACCTTTGCCCATTAATGAACCAATATTGTTTCAAGTTGATTCAACGTTGATTCAATATTGCCAAGATTTTCAGCCCTGGAAGTCTCTTAGAACGTTCGGCAGGTTGGCGTGTTAGAGCCGGTGACAAAGACGGTGACAAGTTCGGCAGGTTGCCGTGGCCGTTTTGGGCACTTTTTCGGCCCAAGAGCTAGCGGTGACACAGCGGTGACAAACTGTCAAGAGACGGCAAGGTGACGTCCCGTGGGACGCTATGCACCGAACCCTCAAGCTGTAATACCAACCACGTAGAAAGGTGTATACGGACGATGCCGTTATAGCCGAACCCGTGTAAACGTTGTAAGGGAGAAGGAATGATAGTTACAACAGTGGTCCTGACAAATGCAGCGCAAGCGAAGTGTTTTCGCTCTCAATGCCGATCACGTATGTATGCAGTCACACATCAGATCTTGAACCTCAATTGTGTCTTGAGCCAAATGGCGATCAATGGAACTTGGGAAGCAACACCAACAAGGACCTCAGAACAGCTACCCAATTTCGGCACGGGGCCTAGAGGGTTTTAACATCCCCCATTTGGGTCGCATTGTTCATCATGCGGTCCAAACACCACAAAACGTTCCACTGGCCACGGCTTCAACTACGAAATCGTGTCGTGCATTCTTTTACTTGCTATCACTACACCGTTCATTCGTTGTGAAACATGCCGGGTTCGATTGTACGAAAAGTGAAACATTCATCCACCAATCGAAGCGCACTCCCATATGCAGGTGTATACAATACACAATCGTCACGTCATTTGACCACCAGTGAACATCCCGGCTGCCGCATTTGCGCATCGCGCAGCCGTCATCCATAGAAATGGGTTGGCCATAAGAGTCCAACGGAGGCGCCTGCTCGTAAGCAATCTGCATATCTCCGGCATGGAAATATCGGTGAGCAATCAATGCAAATCATAGCCATTCCAGATACCATGGACAATGCATAAATAATGAAAAGGAAATCATCCATGAGGTAATAGTTCCATCCACGAATATCCGGAATGTCATAGTCGTCGGAATATGTAACCATGTACACATCCATTCAACTTGGATACATGAAATCATATCATAATGTAAAGTCGTTCCATCGCAATGGTGTTGATGAGACGCAAGCAACAGATGGGGACTAACCCACATCGTGCCGCAATCGGCATCTTCACTACGCATACCGGTCCCCAATGGACAGTCTGTGAGTGCGTCGACGGAACTCCTCGTCCAAGTTCTTCTGGGCTTCTCGTGCCCGGACACACTTCTTGCTGTAATCCTCTGGTAGCCAGTGCCCTTTCCGAAGGCACCAATCCAGCAGGGTGTGTCACACTTGTTCGGGTCGACGGCCGAGATGATGGCGCTCACGTTGACCGCGTAACCATATTTGCCAAGGTTCAGGCCATCCCTCACGAATGATATATACTTACAGTTGAAAGCCAGTGCAAAGCATCTGAAAATAATATCACCTACCGGATGCACTCGGTCCTTGACCAGCAGCTTCATTTCGTCCTTGGTGACATCGAGGATTCTCGCTGCAATCCACAGCTTGTAGAATGTGTATAGTCCCTCGCGTTTGCACACCATCATACGAATATATTCGTCACGCTCCTCAACCGATCGGAAGGCTCTTGTCCGAACATTCTCCGATTGAGAAATCTTCGTTATTGTTGATGGCAAAAGTATACCTTCCTGATCATGCTCAGTCATGTTGGGGTATCTCTTGAAGTCATTGTGGTAAGGGCAGCCCGGTCTCCCCTCGAGTTGGGCATTCATCGTTCTCTCCTCACCACCCTCGAACATCCCCCACATCTTGGACATCTGGAGTGCGATAAACCCTGCCATGTACTGAGCCTCACGCGGCTCGTCAAGGCAGATCGCCATCCGCTGGGAATTTATGATATCCCGTGACGTCAGATCAGTGTCGCGGTAATACCAACCGCTGTCATCCTCTTCTGACGCATATCCGGATGTATATCCTTGCGTGTCCATGTCGTCTTCTTCTCCCGGAACTTCCTCCGCTTCGTCATCATCCTCCTGTGCCGCCGCACCGTGGTTAGCTTCTTCCTGTGCGCGCTTGGCATCTCCCGAGACGTTGGGGTTTTGATTGTCCTCCTCATCGTCGGAGTTGACGTGGATGTAGTACCTCCCGGTGGAGATCAGTTGCGCCTCACATTCCAGGCATAAGCAGAAGCATGTGGGGATCGCGGTCGCACACGATGGACATATCCGGCATCTCAGTCCCTCCCATGTCTCATCATTCAGGATGACGACTTTGCTGATTTCGTCCCTGACCTCGTTGACCTGCGCGTTGAACTCCTCCATCTTGTTGTTCCGATAGAGTTCGCATGCACGATCAACCATGTCCCTGATGTAGTGCAGATTATCGGCACCTGTCTCGGTCTCGGGCATCCTCTCGCTGATCTTTGTGACGTTCTGGAGGAACATCGCAGCCGACTCTTGGGATGAGTTGACGAAGCCAGGGCAGATCTCGTTCTCCACACACTTCGAGTACGCTCTCTTGACATCAACGTACTCCAGGCGTTTCCCTCCGTTGCTTCTGCCAATCCAAATGGACTTGACCTCATAGAACGGGACCACGTCAAAGACCATGAAAGTCCCATTTGCCGCGACTCCAGCTCCATACCGCGCGAGGGTTGCACTGGGAATGTAGATGATCGCAATCGGGTCCCCCTTCCTTACGTTCCGCAGCGTCACCTTTTGTTGCCACGTTCATCTCATCCCATGGAGCGAACGCTCCGAAGTGCAGTGCTAGCCTGTTACCGCCATCGATTCCGCCGGGGACTAACCCACAGCGTACGATGCTTGGCAGATTTTCCACATACGTCACATGGAATGCTCCTCCGAGAGAATCACCCATCCTTGCGGAATACCTATTTGCCAGTGCGGATGAGCTCATGAATCCAAAATCGCTGTGACCAGTTGTGACTCGGATGCACCAAGGTCTGTACCATCCATCGCATCTGTTGAACATCCTGTCGATGTCGTCCCGATCCATGCCAGCTTTGGTCATTTCCTCCCTGGCCGCCTTGGTGTCGTTCGGGTTCATGATGCTTGGAAACCTTGCTGCCAGGACCTGAAATCTCGATTTCTTGCTTCCAGATTCCTGCCACTTGATCACCTCCATGATGCCCATGTATCGCTTCGCTCTCGAGGTGCCTGGTGGGAATATGTCGTTGTTCCGGTCGTCAATGACTGCATCAATGTCGACCCATCCACCTTCGTCGCACCTGAAAGCACTTCCTCGGCAGCTGCCGATCTTGTGTCGAAGGACTCGGCATAGGTCATGAGATAGCTGGTTTGCTTGGTCTTTCGTAGCAAATACCGAGCGATCATCGCCAATCCTGCACAGTGGAGCGCCGTCAAAAGGAGCAACGCAGAAATTGACACTCTTGCCAAGCTGCATCACGTCCACCTGCTCAAGGATGGCACCTTTGGGAAAGTAGCACGGGATGGTGTCGCATCCCATCTCAAGCGTCTTCTTGAACGTCCTGTTGTCCCCGCACGGGTTGTAGGTGAGGTCCACGCCACCACATTGTAGCTCTCCTCCCTCTGCCGTGTCAGCCATCTCCACCAAGTTGATGGTATAGCTATACATCTCAATTGTTTCTTTCCCTGCTTGTCCTCCTCTCTTTCTTTCTTTGGACGTTGATGAGGGCGGTTCCTCCGTATCCCCCATATCTTCATCCGATGACACGGGATCACTGCTGAGTAGCTTACGGAGCATCTTCATCGCTTTCTCGTTGCCAGCAGCCTCCTCAATGTCTTTGCAGTCGCCGTCGTGGGCCAGGTTCGCGCACTTCTTGCAGATTCCCATTTCTCCCATGCACTTCTCCATTGACTCCAGGAATCCTAGTGCCGCTCTCCGCCCGTCGATCACTCGCTGCTTCTTCTCTTCCTTCTCAGCGTTGGGCTGAGAGCTTCGGCTCGGGTCTGGTGCTTGACCAAGACCGTCACCTTCGCCCTCCGTTGCCTTTCTCTTGGACCCTTGGGCAGCAGGCTCGGTTATCAGGGATCGCGGGTGTCTGGGCTTAGCCTTGTTCATGATGTCCAGCACTTCTTTCGTGGGCGCCCCGAGTTGTGCGGAAGGTTTGTTCCGCTTTCGGTTCTGGCCCGTCGTGTGGGTCACGTTCCCGGCGAGGTGTCGTACGATTGACTGCTCGAACTCCCTCTTGATCTTCCACACATCCTTCCACAGTGGCAGTTCGTGCTGAAAGTACGACATCACCTCAAAGAACCCCAATACCATCTCGACGACGTCTCCCAAGGATTCCTCGTTTGAGGTTTGTCCTAGGAGTTCATACATCGTCCCTTGGTCGAGCACGCTCTTGATCCAGGAGGAATAGGCCACGTTGCCGAGATCCTTGTCTATCATGAAGATGGACATTCTCTCCTCGACTCCCTCGGAATTCTTGCACACGATCACATCCCGGGATGCACATAATTGCTTCCCGTGACCGTTGTTGTAGAACTGTGCTGCTTGATCCACTGTCATGCTCACGAAGCCCACGTGGGAGAGCTCCTTCTTCAGCTTAGAATACGCGAGCTCCCGTATAATCGTGATCATGGCCTGGATGTTGTTGACGTCCACCATGAGGTTTTGAAGGTCAGGGATTGCAACCACGCATTCCGCGAAGAGGCGCGTGTACAGCTTCTTCCCTTCGATAGACCTCGCAATACCGTTCGTGTCCGCATTCCAGTTCGCGCAACAGTTCACGCAAGAAGTGGGATTGAACTTCGAGTTTGGTCCGAGCACCTTCGACTTGCTCACCTGCATCTCTCTAGCGCAAAGTTCACAGATGAACTTGCTGAGCTCCGTGACCAAATACCATCGAAGACGTTGATCACCGACATCGGCTTTCCCAAACGCATCCTGTTCGCCGTGCCCTTCATCTTGCTGTTCTTGTTTTCTCTTTGACTGCGCAGTGAAGGTCGGCTTGTACTCAAACTTCACCTTCGACTCCTCCATATTCTTCGGGATGTTGAATCGAAGGTCGGGCTCGTTAATGCACGTCTCCTCCAGCTCACGCACAAACGCGTTGCTTGGTGCGACCACATCGATGGATTTCTCCACCAGCAATCGTTTCAGGAGGAAATGTTGCAGGTTCGAGCTCCCAGGGATCTTGTAGTTCTTTCCTGTGAGCGCATGGACCACGCGCCACAGGCGATCGTTCTCAGTCACCAGCGCGCCTGCCGCCTTGCAGATCTCGCTGACCTTGTTGGCGATCGTCCCCAAGTCCCCTCTCCCTCCATGGAAAGCAACATCACGATTCACGCACACCACGACCAGGCCCTTGCACGTGTTGACGAGGTCGGTCACCTGCCACCCACATCCTCTTAGAGCGACATCCAAATGTGCACCGACACGGGTGAGTCATCCATGTCTCGCCTCCGTCGTTCGATGATGAGCTTATCCAGTTTCTGCAATCTGGAGATAATACTCAATGTGTCATTGGGCGAGGAGACTTGCTCACTCGATCCGTAGTATGACCTCTCTTCGATATTTGTCCATCCCTGTTCGTTGACCATCATCTGGAAGGTCTTCGTGCTCCCTTTTGAGTTGACGGCCCTCAGGGGCCAGTCCAGGACCAAGAAGCTCTTCTTCTGGATCATCATGTCGCGAATCGTTGCCTCACCAATGGGGCTCCTCTTCTGTCTCTTGATAATCCGGTTCAACTGTCCAGGTGCGTTGTCCGGGTTCATCTCCGCCTGGATCAACGCGTTGATGGCTTTGGCGCCCGGAAGGCGTCCAGTAAACAAGCATCCTGTTTGGGCACACAAGAAAGCATACAGCTGTAGCCATGCCGCATTCCCCTTCCCAACATAGGAAAGAATAATCTTCTCCGCGCTGGTCTTCTCCTCGAAGTGCAATAGCGAAGAGGTCAGGCATCTCAGCATACACTCCCAGTATGTTGCGTTCTTACCTTCTGCAAGACACGGCCCAAATACAGTTTGTATGATCGGGTACCCTGTATTGTTGTCTATGTTGAACTTCACATTGACAGTCGCGCCGCTCAAAGTAATACCCCCTTCGAATGAAGTGTAGGTATCATGTCCAGCAGTTGGGTTGATGATTACCCACCTGTCGTCATCTCCACCGGAGTTCATGCGGAAAATGGAGTTGATGATCTCGTTGTCGATCTCGACAGCGCCGCTAGCATGCGACCCCCCACTTGAAGCTCCCTGCTGGGGGACTGACCCACCAGAGGTTTGGCTCCTTTGCCCGGAGCTCGATGCTGATTTCTGCTGCCGCTCCGTCTTCCGTGGTGGCTCTGTCTTCGATGATCCCATCACCCACCACGCCGGCTCTTCCCCAATCACAAAATCCTCGGGATACTTCTCCAGTTCCCTCTCGACTTCGTGCATCGTGCAGTAGTTGTTCTGGTAGAATTCGATCATGACATCCTTCTCGGCTTTCTTCTCGATCTCCTTCAACCAGCTCACCCATTTGCGCCGATCTTGGTTCTCAGCGGCCCTGTCAGCCGCGTGCGGTGCCAAACTGATGGAGTTGATGTTCATCGCAGGCAGCTTTGACTCGTAGATCATGTCGATGCACCACAGGAAGTTCCTGGCGATCTCAATCTCCCGGTAGAGTTCGTTCAGTTCTCTCTTGTCCGGACGGAAATAAGCTGTGTACGACTGATCTTTGGCGTTCTTTTCTCCGAGCAATGGCTGCAGTCTCCTCATGATGAAGGAAACGCACATGAGCGAGTTGATCGCCCCGATGCATGCGTCAGAGATGTCACTGGGGGTTGACCCACAGATCATCCAGCGCAGGAGATTGTGCTGGCTGGCATTCTCATCTCTCCTCAGCGCATACGCGAGGTTCTTCATCGAAGCATTCAGCTCATTCTGGTAGACCAACCCAAGGTCCCAATTCTTCTGGTAGTCGTCCTTGGAACCACGACCGTAGGAGGCCCCCGTCCGTGTCGCAAGTTCAGACGGCTCCATCCGCCCCCGTGCGAGCCCGGGCGCCGCCGTCCGCGGCCTCCGTGATCTGTCGTTGTCTCGCCCAACTTGCCATTCTTTTTTTACGGGGCCAGTTTTTTTGCTCGGCCGCGCTCCCCGATCATACGTGCCCGTGTGGTTGGGAGCTTTTTCGCACGGTTTTGCATGGTTTTTGCATGACATGATTTTGCTTGATTTTGGCATGACATGATTTTGCATGATTTTTTTGCGTGGCGTGTTTCTCACATGGGTCTTGTCGAAACATGTTCTGGTGCAGGTCTTGGTGGCGAGCAATCAGATGAGAACCTTGAAGGTTGAAGTGGAGAAGGGATTCCATGCGAATATCTCAAACACTTGTTTGTTGCAGCGCGTCGGCCCAGATCAGACAGCATCAACAGCATCGGCAACCCTCGGCAACCCTCGGCAACCCTCGGCATCGGCAACCCTCGGCTCGGCAACCCCTCGGCCCAGATCAGACAGCATCGGCAACCCTCGGCAACCCTCGGCAACCCTCGGCAACCCTCGGCTCGGCAACCCTCGGCTCGGCAACCCCTCGGCCCAGATCAGACAGCATCGGCAACCCTCGGCAACCCTCGGCAACCCTCGGCAACCCTCGGCTCGGCAACCCTCGGCTCGGCAACCCC